TCTTCTTCTTCTTCTTCTTCTTCTTCTTCTTCTTCTTCTTCTTCTTCTTCTTCCATCCCTCTTAGCGAGCCATTACAAAGTTCTCATATCTCCACCCTCCCCTCCCCCTCTCTCTCTTGATATCTGTGTTTCTCTCTCCCTACATCTCTTTATCTTTCGGTAATCCGTCTGGGCCGTGTTTCTCTATCTATACCTCTATCTGTATGGACCAATATTTATCCGTCTGTCTCATACTTGTTTACCCATAACTGGTGAGCACACACCCACACTACTCTATCTGTTATTCATTTGTCTATCTATAACTATATCTACACAGATTCAATTTATCCCGGGTGTCCTTTCAAGGTATCTGTAACATTATCCTCATAGATCCATTCTGGCATCTGTGTTATTTGATTGTCAGAAGTCTGGGTTTCTGTTTTGGATATTTTCCTTCCTGCATCTGACTAAAAATACATTGGCTGTCTGTGACTTATTGACTGTCTAGGTGGGCATACTCTTAGCTCAGTTGGTACCATACTGGACTTCGGTGTGAATGCCCCTTGTTCGAATGCATAGCAAAGCATAAAAAAACTGGGGTTTAACTAAAGCTCCCTTTCGTCTCAACCAGTTGGCTCTGACAATGGGAGGGAGTGTAAAAAACCAGCATTTATTTATTTACTTTTAAAAAGATTACACTGCAGCCTCTAGATCACGACACCGTCGGGACAAAAAAAAATGTCGTTATAGAGGGAGAGTTGTCGTTATAGAGAGGCAAACAAAAAATTACTAATGATAATATGTATATATGAGGAAAAAATCGGGACCTGGGCACCATGTCGCTATACAGAGGATGTCGTTATATCGAAGGTCGTTATAGACAGGCTGCACCGTATTATTTCACCTTTCTCTCAGTCTCATGCTCTAAAGACCAACCTCTGCCATTTTCTCGTCCTCCTCTTCTTTCCCCAGGGCAGCCTCGGCTCTTGCAGCCAAATCTTCCTCCACTGGGATTTGCTCGTGTGCGACTACCTGGCCACTCTGGTCCACTTCTCCCTCCAGCTGGCTGTCAGATAGGATGTTGCTTATGTCGGACTTTTTGGCCAGAACCCTTGCTTTGTTTTGTTGATTTCCGTAATAGATCGTTTCTTGGGCTCTCTTAGCTGAGGAAAGAACAATACATTGAAGTCAGATTTCCAGATAATTTACTTGATTTTAAAACGTGTTTGACCTAGGCTTTCTTAGATCCGAGAAGATTCAAGAAAGCCTAGCCGTTGGTCCATATTTTTATAACATATAACTCGGCAAATATGTAAATTGATGTAGCAAAATTTGAAGGTAACTAATTCATCGAGGGCACGAATTCTGATCATTCGGCAACACTTGGTGTACTTTTAGAAAAAAAAAAAGCTTAACTTCGTGATTCATGCAGATTTTTTTCAATTCTGTTTTATTATATCTGAAACTTAAGAATACAGGCAACAACATACACACTATGAATATACAAATTATTCGTCCTTCTGACGTGGGTTCGAAATGAGCCGGCATATTGCCTTTGATATGTTTCTGTTCGGACTTAATGATGTGTTAGCTACGTCTTAAAGTATTAGAAAGTTTGTTTTTTCCTTCTCGTGTGTCTGATTCGAAATACAGAAGAGTGACGTCACACATTAAGACTAATGATGCCCCCCCCC